TCTTCTTCTATGTATTCGTACTCTATCCCCTTCGATTTCAGAGCCCAAATGACTCTGTAAAGAAATGGGCTAGGCCAAGCTCCCAACAACTTCACTTCTCCCATTTTAAGATATCTTGAGCTGGATATGGATGGCCTTCTAGTTCACTACAGCATTGTTTTATAGGGATTCATGGGGTTGTTTTTTCTTGTGTTCCAAGCTTCTTTCTTGAAACTTTCTCTGATTGTCAAACAAGTTATGAATTCTTTTCAAAGTTTGGTGTGATCGATTTTTGACTGTGGGTCTAGTTGATCTTGGAGTTTGTCTTTTTCTTGGAAATTAAATTATAATATTTAAAAAATTAGAGTGAATAAGTAAAGGAAGATGCTTACCCAGTCCCTGACGTCTGTTGAGGCATATGCCCAAAGCTTGTTTTTGATGGCTTGGATATGCCAAGGACTATTAAAAGGAAGCGCAAAATTCTGGATCTCAGGCCTAATTTGTCTACACTGCAATTTCCTTCGTGGAGAGGGAGAGACTTGACAGATCGAGCTAAGTAGGAGAGCTCCCAAGAGTAGGAGCCAGAGAAGTCTTCATTTTGGGTCTTGACCTTTGTCATGTTTGCAAGCTAGTCAGCTGCAGAGTTTCCTTCTGGTTCTGGATACGTGTGGTGGTAGATGATAGGTGAAGGCAAGGTGAGGTTTAACAATTTACAATTCTCCACAAGAGAGATCGACACTTCTAGGGGTGGACTGATCTCGCTAGATGATTCTAGATTTACTGTTCACCTGCGAGGCAAGGGCTTCAAAGGCAGCCTATAGTTCAGCTATTAGAATCGTAAAAGTTCCTAGGTTCCAAATTTTTGTTTCAATGATATGTCCACTAAGGCACAAAGGCACATCTGCCAATCATTGTTCTTGCTCGTAGCATCTAAATTTATTGGGTAAATTTCAGATAGATACCTTGTACTTTAGGGATAGTGGTAGATAGGTATCCTGAAGTTTCGATTGCAACATTTGGGTACCTTGAACTCTCAAAAATAGACATTTAGCTCCATCCGTTAGTATTCTGTCAGTTAAACATTTTATAATGTCAAAAATACCTTTCTCATGTATTTTTGAAATCATTCTATAGAGTAAAATCATCATTAGAGAATGCCGTAATTGAAAAATTTGAATATGCTATTTGCTGTTCATGTGAACGTCACCATGGGGAAATGTTTGGTTACCTGAGAATTACTTGAGAATGATCTCAGAAATACATGATAAGGGTTTTTTTTTTTCTTTTTGTCATTATATAATGCTTAATTGACGGAATACTAAAGATGGACCTATGTGTCTATTTTTTAAAATTAAGGATATTCAAGTATTACAATTGAAAGTTTAGGGTACTTATCTGTCACTACCCCCAAAGTACAGGGTATCTATCTAGAATTTATCCAAATTTCTTTTCAACACTCTGTTGGAGGAGGGGGATCCACTTTGTCCAGATCATGGGCTTTGGAGGTTTTTCACAAGTGCCTAATGAAGTGGTATTGGCATAAATACTCCTCTATTCTCGCCAGAGCTTTTGAAAATTGAATCATTTCTGTTTTTCTAGAGGTACCAAAGCTATTTTTCCCCACAACCAGTCTTGATTTTCCATATATAATTCTATTCTTCCAATTTCACTCGCCAGTGGAATGTCTCTTGAATCATGTGAAACCCAAATCCAAAGCTTATATTGTTATTTATGGGAGATGTTACAAYTATATTTATATGATCAACAATGTCTTGTGATCAACAGATCTGGACAAAAATATGGTCCTTCGAGAAAAAAAAAAACTTTGGACCTCAGGTTTTGTTTGTAATGCAAATTTGCTGTACTGTTGCAAAATACAAATTTTGATAAACCAGGCATAGCTCTTGTGAAAAGTTTCCCCTATAATTCATAAGGGGAAATTACAGGGAACTATCCTATATTTTGGGGGTTTAATAACACTAAGGGCCTGAACTTTTACTTGCGATAACAAAGTTCCCTACACTTTCAGATTCCAACACTTCAGTCGTACCCAGTTAACAAGTGTAATGGTAAAGTGAAAATTTACGAAAATACCCATTCCAAACCAAAACAGTATGTTAACAAGAAAATAAGAACATGATAGCAAAGGAGCAGCAAATGTAATAATGTGATAAAATAGGCCACTGTTTACGTAAAAAAAAAAAATGTATTTCTATTTGGTACCATTGCCACTTTTTCATGAAACACCAAATTTGATGTTTCTTTTATAAATGTCAACATCAATTCAATGCATACATTTTTTTAGTGAAAGTGGTTATCAGATGTGATGTGAGACATGGGTGTCAAAGATGTTTTCAATATGTATAATTGGAACTTTGCAATTATAAGCACTTGATATGAAATTGGGTAGTTCAGAGCTTGTGAAAGTATAGGGATACTTCGACCCTTATGCTCAGTTTGGAAAAGTATAAATACAAATATATACAGTACAAATACATATAAAATAATGCAAAATATAAGGTTTTGTATATTTATAYTCTTTCAAAACTAAGCCTTAATGGGGTTGAATTCAAATTTGAATTTGGACAATGAAATACCGTTTAGAACCCTAATAAGAAATGGGATGTGCCACAATTACATCTCTTATTCAAAATGAAACCTCAAATACACTAAATATATGGGGAGTCCTTATTCAAAGGGAAAAGCCAAAGTAATAGACTAATTAAGGAGAACATAGATGTATGCAACCCATAAATACGGTGAAGATTATGCAGATGCCAAAAGAATTTCTCTCCTGCGTTTGAAAAAGACAAACATCTCCTCACGATCAGGCAGGTTCTCTTTGATCACACCCACTTGGTTGAAATTGTGAATCCATGCATACAAACGAGGGAAGGTATGAGCTTCCACCAACTTCACTCCTACTATATCCTCCATCACTCCCAAAAAGCAAGCAACCCCACCAAAGGCCAAGTCAGCCAATCCAATTGTGTCACCACCAAAAAACTTCTTCTCTCCAAGCCCACCATATTCTTCTACCATTCTCAGCATTTCCAAGCATTCTTTCCTTGCCTTCTCTTGTTCTTCACCACGGGAACAGAAGAATGACATAAAACATGCTCCCTACATAAGAATGTTATTTATACATCAGCCACCATTTTCTAAATAAATTCATCTTGTGAGCATGAATTTAGCAGTGCAATTTGGGCGGGCTCGAGTCCGGATCTGCTCCTTACACCGATCTCATAGCATGTACCAGCAACAAAGATGTTCTCAATACATGTTGGGATGTGGCTGATGAGGTCAGTGTGAGGAACGCTTTCTGTGAGAGTAGATTCCAATTCGGCAGGTGATGACTGAGGATTTGTTAAAATTTGAAGGAGCCTGGTCCGAAAGTTAGGGGCATAACTTGGGCAGGCTCAACCAGAGCCTGGACCGACCCAGGCCAGAATTCTTCTCAGGATGGGTTTGGTCTCAAGAGTATGTCTTTTTATTTTTCATAATTTTTGGATTGGGCCCGGGCCTAGCTCATAGGTAGCCCAAACCTGGTCCAACCCTATCCATACCTGAACCTATTTCCACTATATACATGCATTTATGCATATAAATACATATAGGTGCATATATGCATACATTTGTACGCATGCATATGTATTTATATCAAATTTTAGTTTAGGTTAATTGACCAACCCAAACCCAGTCCAGGCCTGAGTCTAATCCAAGTGCATCAAATTTCAGTATAGGTTAAGCCTAGGTTAGACAAATTAGACTTGCCATCAGCCTCAGTCCGGACTCAGGACTTACGCCCAATTCTGAGGGTTGGGCTTCAGCTTAAACCTGACGCAGCCCATCTGACTTGCACCCCTTAGTCTGGTTCAAATTTCTATTGCAAGGTGTATATTTGACAAAGGCTCAGCTAATTAGTGCAAGCAGGGATTGGAAACTTGCATTTTCAATTGAACCCTTGTATTCGATTACAACTAAAAACAAGATCTTCAACTACTTATACTTTATACTTGCCTTATCMTCAGCAAATTTTGCCCAAAATCGAGCTGCAGCTCTCTGCTCTGCGTCTTTGGGTAGCAATGGATTCTCCGGCCATGTCTCGTCAATGTATTCCAAGATAACGAGCGACTCCGCAATTGGTTTTCCGTCATGAGCAAGCACAGGGNCTCACGATCAGGCAGGTTCTCTTTGATCACACCCACTTGGTTGAAATTGTGAATCCATGCATACAAACGAGGGAAGGTATGAGCTTCCACCAACTTCACTCCTACTATATCCTCCATCACTCCCAAAAAGCAAGCAACCCCACCAAAGGCCAAGTCAGCCAATCCAATTGTGTCACCACCAAAAAACTTCTTCTCTCCAAGCCCACCATATTCTTCTACCATTCTCAGCATTTCCAAGCATTCTTTCCTTGCCTTCTCTTGTTCTTCACCACGGGAACAGAAGAATGACATAAAACATGCTCCCTACATAAGAATGTTATTTATACATCAGCCACCATTTTCTAAATAAATTCATCTTGTGAGCATGAATTTAGCAGTGCAATTTGGGCGGGCTCGAGTCCGGATCTGCTCCTTACACCGATCTCATAGCATGTACCAGCAACAAAGATGTTCTCAATACATGTTGGGATGTGGCTGATGAGGTCAGTGTGAGGAACGCTTTCTGTGAGAGTAGATTCCAATTCGGCAGGTGATGACTGAGGATTTGTTAAAATTTGAAGGAGCCTGGTCCGAAAGTTAGGGGCATAACTTGGGCAGGCTCAACCAGAGCCTGGACCGACCCAGGCCAGAATTCTTCTCAGGATGGGTTTGGTCTCAAGAGTATGTCTTTTTATTTTTCATAATTTTTGGATTGGGCCCGGGCCTAGCTCATAGGTAGCCCAAACCTGGTCCAACCCTATCCATACCTGAACCTATTTCCACTATATACATGCATTTATGCATATAAATACATATAGGTGCATATATGCATACATTTGTACGCATGCATATGTATTTATATCAAATTTTAGTTTAGGTTAATTGACCAACCCAAACCCAGTCCAGGCCTGAGTCTAATCCAAGTGCATCAAATTTCAGTATAGGTTAAGCCTAGGTTAGACAAATTAGACTTGCCATCAGCCTCAGTCCGGACTCAGGACTTACGCCCAATTCTGAGGGTTGGGCTTCAGCTTAAACCTGACGCAGCCCATCTGACTTGCACCCCTTAGTCTGGTTCAAATTTCTATTGCAAGGTGTATATTTGACAAAGGCTCAGCTAATTAGTGCAAGCAGGGATTGGAAACTTGCATTTTCAATTGAACCCTTGTATTCGATTACAACTAAAAACAAGATCTTCAACTACTTATACTTTATACTTGCCTTATCATCAGCAAATTTTGCCCAAAATCGAGCTGCAGCTCTCTGCTCTGCGTCTTTGGGTAGCAATGGATTCTCCGGCCATGTCTCGTCAATGTATTCCAAGATAACGAGCGACTCCGCAATTGGTTTTCCGTCATGAGCAAGCACAGGGACCTTCTTGTGAACTGGGTTATACTTCAAAAGCAATTCACTCTTGTTGGACAGATCTTCTTCTATGTATTCGTACTCTATCCCCTTCAGTTTCAGTGCCCAAATGACTCTGTAAACATATGAGCTAGCCCAAAGGCCAAACAACTTCACTTCCCCCATTTTAAGATATCTTGAGCTGGAAATGGATGGCCTTCTAGTTCACTACAGCATTGCTTTATAGTGATTCATGGGGTTACTTTTTCTTGTGTTCCAAGCTTCTTTCTTGAAACTTTCTCTGATTGTCAAATTATTTATTATTTATGAATTCTTTTCAAAGTTTGGTGTGATCGATTTTTGACTGTGGGTCTAGTTGATCTTGGAGTATTAAATTTGATGTAAATATAATAGTTGGAAATTRATGTTGATTTTTGACTGTGGATTAGAACAAATGGGCGCAGGTTATAATATRTTGACGAGATCGAGTTTCTTTACACTGTGATTAGAGTAAGTAAAGGAAGATGCTTACCCAGTCCCTGACGTCTGTTGAGGCAGACGTCTTCCAGGGCAGTTTAATTACATGAGAGGAATGACTAAGACTAGAGAGCGGGAGAGACCTGACAGAGCTAAGTAGGGGAGCTCCCAGGGTAGGAGCCAGAGAAGTCTTCATTTTGGGTCTTGACCTTTGTTTTGTTTGCAAGCTAGTCAGCTGCAGAGTTTTCTTCATTTTGGGTCTGGAAACTTCCAGGGCATTTAATTAATCACCAACAATGAGTCTCTTTAGAATTTAGGGGAGGCCACCAGTTAAGCCTTTCATGAGTTATTCAAGCTCGGTTTATGAAAAGTTCAGTTCAATTTTGTTTAAATCAAATTTTAAGTCAATTTGAATCTAATATATAGGATCGTTTACTAATTAAGTCAAGTTTAAGCCTGATAAAGTTCAACTCGTGAAACTCACAAGYCTGATATTAAATAAATAATTTTTATTATATATACATACATATATAATTTTATTATATAAAAATATTTTTATTTTTTATATAATAATAAATAATTTTTATAATGGATATGAATAAGGATATGAATGACCTTCAACACTATACCCACTTGCTTTTATGGTGATTCATGGGAGAGTTTTCTTGCTTGGGCCCTAAGCTTCTCTTTTAATTTATGAATTATTGACAAAGTCTAGATCTTCCTGTAAAATTTGATGTATAGGTTTTTGAGTTTTTCTATTGTATTGATCCTTGACTTTGGACAATTGGACTAGAGTATGTAGCAGTTGGCACGCGTGCTTACGTTTAATTAACTAATAATTTAAGTTTCTTGACACTGTGATAACTGATAAGGTTTGTGCTTGTTGTTTAGATATATTGTAGTTCATAGATAACCGTCTTTCTATTTAAATACCATACCTCAGGTCCTATTTTGTATTTTTTTCTGTTTTATCAACCATAAGCCTGATTTGATCATTTTGGTCATCACGGTTTGCAGGTATTTTAAATTTAGGGGTCAATTCGAGCCGAGATTTATCAACCATAAGCCTAATTTGATGATTTTGGTTATCACGATTTGCAGGTAGTTGCCAATAGGGGTATATTCGAGCCAAGCTGAGCTGGGTTTGTTGAAATTGTATTAGGTTTGAGCTCGAGTTCGATTCAAGCTAGATACTTGAGCTAGAGTTCGGCTCAGTTTAAAGCTCGTAAATTCGAATTTGGCTTGGCTCGAGCTCGACCGCAAGCTATTTTTTTCTAAAAAATAAAAATTATACATATAATAATATTTATTTTATTTTACATACAAAAATTTAAGAATTATAAAAATTATTTACTATTATACATAAAAAATAAAAATATTATATATAATAAAACTGATTTATTATATATATTTATATGTATGTATGTATGTATGTATGTATGTATGTATGTATGAATGTATGTATGTATATATGTATGTATGTATTATATTAGATTTGATTAGGCTTGTGAGCCTCACGAGTCGAGCTTTATTGGGCTCGAGCTCGGTTCAATTAGCAAACGAGCCTATATATCAGGCTCGAGTTCAGCTCGAAGCTCAGTTTAAAACAAGCTGAACTGAGCTCAAAAAGCTCGTGAGAACCTCTTGGCTCATGGCCACCCCTATTTGCCACTCCATTCGATGTTCCCATAAGGAATCACTTGTATTGATGAGATATGGCTTTAGACCTAGACTTGTGCCCATTTTAAGTTAGACTTGGACATAAATTTAGGCCCGTGGGTTCAGGTTTAGGCCTAAAATATTGGGTCCAACCTTTTTTTTTTTGGATGGGCTCAGGCTTTCTCAAAAAAGCCCAGCCTAAGCCTGAGTTTGAGCTCGACTTGATAATATATATTAAATAATAAAAATTATATTTTGTTTAATATATATATATATACAATTTTTAAAATACTTTTTTACTGAATAAAAAAAGAAAAAAAATCTCTTTTCAAATTTCTGATTGGGCTTGGGCCCAAGCTTCGGACTTTTATATGAGGGTCGGGTTCGGCGGCGGTGGTGATGTTCTTGGTCTTGGCAGTGATTGCGAAACTATGCAGATTCTTCCCCTCTTCGGCTAGGAGGTCAGGAGGTCCTCGGCGGCTGGCTGGCTAGCACGTCGAACTCTGAGGGGTTGGCCTTGTTGGATCTAACTAGGCCAATGGGTCTAGATACACACGCTCACCATGGTGCCCCAGGTTAGCAACGGGATGGCTGCCCTGAGGACGGCCTCCTACCAGGCACCCCACCTTGTCCAGCCTCTGCGCGAGGTTGTCAAGCCGGTCGAGGACCACTTGAAATTGGTCCATTATGACCAAGTTCTGGGTTTCCTGGTGTTTCTTTCCATATCAGCTAAAGCTTAGGGGTTAATTATTGAGTTTCTTAGAGTAAATTAAGGGAAGTCTTAGCGACATTCCCACAGACGATGCCAATTGTTGTTGCCTAGAATAGGATGAGGGCAACACTATCAATTTGCTTCTGATCTGAGGAGTGGCTAAGTGGTTCGAGGCCTAGAGTGGTCGAGGGTTGGTAGGTTGATCCTACGAGGAGCAAAGGGGAGATAATGTCAGAGGCCCCGAGTTGATATCCGAGGCGGAGACTCCGACAATCAAGTTAGTGTGGGTGCAATGCAAGGTGGATGAGGCCTGAGGTGGAAACACTCAGACGAGCCATAGGGGGAATTGGAGAGTTCTAGGTAGTCTTGAGTCTAGATTCCAGATGTTTACCTTGAGGGGGTTGCTCCCTATTTATACTTGAGACCGCCTAAAGGTAGGTGGGCTCGAACAGTCAGAATGTGGTCCTTTCCTAAGAAGCGCATCCATCCAAGGCCGCCACATGTGGCCATGCCATTAGCTCCAGCTTGCACACCGGCCTCTGTTCTACACACGCCCCTATTGGGTCTGCTCTGGGTGCCGCCGCTTGACACGCACAATCACGTTATTGGTCAAGGCCAGGTGCACTTACATCAATAACCAATCTACGGTATCAGGGTGTATTGTTTCACAAAAGAATTATTTTTTTTCTGATGTTGCAGTTCTTTTGTTGTTTTGAAAATAAAATAATTCATATCGACAAACAACCCCTTTAAAGAGGGCTGATTAAGGGAACCTTCCAATTTTGTTAAACTTTCACACTGTAGCGGGCTGGCACACGGGTCCAATTTTAGCTTGCAGTGTCATGTCTACCCACAGCCCACGGGTCTCAAAATCCAAGCCCAACACAGACCAGGGGTAAGGGCCAGGCCGTGGCATCGCACAGCCTAGTTGCTAGAGTGACTTGAGTGGTACGATCCACTTTACATATCTAATTAAAGGTATATATATATATATAATGGGCATGCATAAAATAAAAAAAGGGGGTGTGCCCTAATCACACAACTCTTATTAAATGTAACATCTCAAACATAGTATTCATATGGACTGTTACAATCAATTATAATTACAGTAAGAGAAACATCGAGGGGAGTCGTCATTCAAAGCCAATATCCACTACATTTAAAAGACTAAGAAAAACATAGATAATACCTATAGAACAGAAATCCAAACGATGATAGTAGTTATGGGCAAGATTCAAAGTATCGATACCTATTGATTAATACGTATTGTGTTGGGACCTCTCCGATATGTTTTTATAATAGATGTATGGAGTTTTGACCGATTCAGAAGATGGAGGATCCTTAAACCAGCTCCCTGAACCGATTTTGAAAAAAAAAGAACCTTGTTTGTGGATAGTCATGTAGATGCTAAAAGCATCTCCCTCCTGCTTTTCAAAAAGGCAAACATCCTCTCAGGATCAGGCAGGTTTTCTTTGATCACACCCACTTCCTTGAAATTGTGAATCCATGCATACAAACGAGGGAAGGTATGAGCTTCCACCAACTTCACTCCTACCATATCCTCAATCACTCCCAATCAGCAAGCAACCCCACCAATGGCCAGGTCAGCCAATCCAATTGTGTCACCACCAAAAAACTTCTTCTCTCCAAGCCCATGTTCTCCTATGCTTCTCAGCATTTCCAACACTTGTTTCTTACCTTCCTCTTGTTCTTCACCACTAGAAAAGAAGAATCCCTTTATACACATACCSTACATGAAAATATCAAAACATGATCAATTAAGTCATCTTGGGGTAGTATGAATTATTTAACTTGTTACTACTCAAAACAAGACATTAATTCTTTTCTTTTAATGAAGAAGCTAAGCTAGAATAGAATTACCTTGTCCTCAGAAAATTTCGCCCAGAATCGAGCTGTGGCTCTCTCCTGTGCATCTTTGGGTAGTAATGGATGCTCCGGCCATGTCTCGTCGATGTATTCCAGGATAACGAGCGACTCCGCAATCGGTTTTCCATCGTGAACAAGCACAGGGACGTTCTTGTGAACTGGGTTATACTTCAAAAGCAATTCACTCTTGTTGGGCAGATCTTCCTCTGTGTACTCATATTCTATACCCTTCAGTTTCAGAGCCCAAATGACTCTAAGCAAATGGACTAGCCCAAAATCCAAACAACTTCACTTCCCATTTTAAAATCTAAAGATGAATTTAGATGACCTTCTACACTACCTTAGTTGCTTAATAGTGATTCATGGGAATATTCTTGCTTGGGCACCMAGCTTCTTTAAACTTCTCTTTTAAGTTATATATGAATCATTGACAAGATCAGTCTTGTATTATTCAACCTAAGTGTCTGAGTGAATAAAGTTGAAATTTCCACTGCTGTTGATTATTGACTTTGGATATATTATAGTAGTAGCTAGCAGTTGAAGCAGGTGCTGCTTACATCATTGAATGGGTTGACGGCCAAACTCTAGGCTTTCTTTGAGTTCGGATCTGTTCCTCATAGAGTGCGCCTTACACTGCCCTCACAGCATGTTCTAGCCGTTTATCAGGAATATTTCTCCTATTTATATTTATTATTTATGGGAAGATATTTCTAATACAGGGTGTGATGTAGCTGTAACGTCAGTGTGAAACGCATTCTGTGAGAAGTAGATCCAAGCTTCTGATAGTAACCACTCTAAAGTTTTCTCTCCGCACCCCCACCCTCATCTTTTTGCATCTGAAGTTTGTGTATTAATTTTCTTATGACATTTATGAGGGTGGTGCTAAACTGCTAATTAATAGGGTTTTCAATTTCTGTGAATTTTTGTACTATTTAACTAAAGCGTTCGAATGGCTCAAGAGTACTGAAACCCAAAATTTCTTGACCTTGCAAGACCTTCTGGAACCTTAAAGATTCCCCAAAGTCTGAAAATCCTGTTCCATTAGAACTGGGAAAATCTGGTTAGATGAAGGCAGAGTCATCCTGGTTTTTTTTTCTTTGAACCAGGTGCAGACAAACTACTGCAAGCTAAAACTGGACCCCATGGCTCAATCTCGCATGGAGAAACCCTATTATGCCAACTTGTCTCAAGATCATAATCCCACCTCACTAATAGGCATCTCCATTTTGAGCCAGGCCATCTAACAGGACCTCCATATCATTAATCCCAGTTACCAGACCAGTGTATCTTCGCTCTACTGCATCTTCAGTGTCAAACCTCATTTTGAACTTCATTCCAATAAAAAATGGTTGATTAACAAACGTTGTATCTTCGCTCTGCTGCATCCCAGTTACCAAACCTCATTTTGAACTTCATTTCAAACCTCTAAGAAAGAGGATAGCATCCCCAGAGACTAGCTTCTTGTTATTGACAAATGCACTCCATCCAGTTGTAAGCAAATGTCTCCGTTGCTGACCCCTGTAGATGTGCCGAAACTTCCACTCTACACCATGTAAATCTTTTGCTACAAGCTCTTGGTATGGTCTTTGTTGCTTATAATCCAGGGGGGGAAGCAGTCTTCGGCGGCTCGTTGAGGAACGGAGAACCCTCCATGAGTGCTCGTATCAGAAGCAATGAGGGTTTTGCAGAACATGTGAGGCGTTGCCAGCTTGGCCGAACCTTCAATTTCCTCGTCTTCACCATCAGCTTCCATATCTCCTCTCAGCAATTTCTGCTCAATCTCAGTTTCAGGAAGCAGGAAGATCTGTGCGTAAACTTCATCCATGGCAACTTCCGCATTAAGCTTGATGTCGACGATGCAGCAGATTATAAACCGTCGCCGGAAATTCCGAAATATGCTCCAAGTGCCCCTGCGGCAAGTAAACAACAGCACTTCCTTTCTTTCGCAATGATATAAGCGGCCCCGCACAAGCATGCCAGAGCTCCAAACAGACACCTTCCGAGGACAACGACGACGAACATAATGAAGCTGATGTGGAAGACACCGACGATGAAGAAGAAGGCAACGAGAGTGAAGCAGGTCCGCTCTCAACCACCACTGCCGAAGCGACGTCCTCGTTGTCGGTGACGGTATTGAGATCAATAACACCCCCCATGAAACCAGAACCCCTAGAAATCAAATGAGAGCAAGCAAAAAAGCAGCGGAACAATAGTAGTGGTGGTGGTGGTGGGTTGTGGGGAAGGTGATGGATAAGCAATGGTGTCTGCATCTGCATTGCACTCAAACCCTGAAAGGTCGCTACATAGCCTGTGCAATTGCCGCTTGAGCAAGGAAAGTTCTCTGATTCGAATAAGCTGCAATTGCCGCTTGAACAATCTAAATTTTCTAGGTGTAATTTCTGTTTATATCATTCTATGTATAGATTTTATATTTTTTTTATGAAGGGTAAAATGATAATATATTAATAATTGTTAATCTGTTTAAAGAAAAATTACCATGAATTTAAGAGAAACGCTAAAAATCATGATGAATTTTAGACAATTCCCCCCGCCCCAAAAAGAAAGCCCATAGGCCCACCACAATTAAGCTATCTTAAGAACAAAAACCCCACATGCAACAAATTTTCTTGGCCTTCAATCTACGGCATCGTTAAAATGTTGACTTTAAGCCAGTTCTCATTTCATTCGTTAGATTACCGAAGAAGGCAAAAAGGTCCTAGGCCCAGATCATTCTGTTGGATAAACCACCCGTACCTGCAACATATTTTCTTGGTGGGCCTCTATATGCGCCATCAGTATTGATTTTAAGCTAAGGGAAAATTATATATATAGAGAGAGAGAGAGACGGAATAGATTATTCGATTGTGTTTGGTATGATTGTTGTTTTTACCTTAAATAAATGTTTTTATGTATTGTACATCACATGTGAAAGTCACTTCTGATGGAGTCCGGATCTCCTACACTTAAAATGGTGTGGGGTCGGGGTGCACTTCCAATCAGAAATGAACACGTCTGATGTTCACATGGGCACCCCACTCCCCATATGCGGAGGAATACCAAACGATAAAACTTCCATTAACTAATATTTTTATTTTTAAAACTTAAAAAAAAAAAAGTTAACGTGAAAAAATAGAGGAAACCCAAGTCTTTAGGCTCTAAACGAAATACCATGAAAGTCTAATGATCCACCATTAACAATTGCATAAGACGAGCTTAAGCCAAGGGTAGAAAATCCACTTGTTTAGTTCTTTAAATCTTCACAATGAAACTCTGGGGATTCAATCTTCTTCAAATCTTCAAAATGAAAATCCACTTGTTTAGTTCTTATTCTGTTGGATAGAAGAATCAGATGGTCCAACTTCTCATGCCATAGCCTTCAACGCCGATGGGCACCCAGCAGTATAAAAACAACAAGAACAGAGTTACTACAACTGTAATCAAGGAGGAGAATGGCCAAACTCTCCATCTACTAACAGTATAAGAAATACGAATAAAGAAAATAATGCGATTGTAAGATTTCAAATCGAACGGTTGTTGCTGAGATGTTGGGTCCTCTATATCAACATCACATATACCATGATAATGAAGGATTCGGTTCTGATTTTACTTTCCCTTCGTGTTGATAACCCTGTGAAAAGGTATACAGTCCTTAGTGTTTGCTTGGAAGGAGGGAGAATGATGCAATCATCGTCATATATATGGAATCTGTCTGAGCACCACCATTTCCCGTCCTACCGAGTAGGCCTGAATGAAGTTTAGTTTTGGATTAAGAGAAGCTAGGTTTCATTGGAAAATGAAGAAGAATGGTGAGATAACTGTTGGAATTGTTTCCTAGTCCTTCAAACATTGGGAGATCTCACCCGGGCCCAGTGGCTGTGGCCCTCGTCCTCCATCTCTAAGAATACTTTAGGATAATTTCAAAAATAAAAAATATTATAATCTAATGGAAAATTTATCATTTGCTCTATAAACGAGGTACCCATGCATCGCTGCCCACACCATTTCGAGTGCAGGGCATCCGGATTCCTGACGATTAAATTCACCCCCTTGGGAGAGAGAAATGTCAATTTGACGTTTCCGCAAACACAGTCTGTGCTTTTCAAATTGTGCCTGTTTCAACTTTCAACTATAAAATGGAACCAAACACAACCTTCATTTCCACACACAGATAGAGAGAGGTTATGAAGAAATAGAAAATGTATAGATAGATGGAACAGAACCCTGAACCCATAGGAAGAACAGAAACATAATAGACGGTGGTGGTTATGCAGATGCCAAGAGCATCTCCCTGATGCATTTCAAACGGGCAAACATCTTCTCAGGATCAGGCAGGTTCTCTTTGATCCCTGGAACTTGCTTAAAATTGTGAACCCAAGCATGCAAGTGAGGGAATGTCTGAGCTTCCACCAACTTCACTCCTACTATATCTTCCATCACTCCCATCCAGTGAGAAATCCAACCAAAGGCCAAATCAGCAAACCCAATTGTGTAGCCACCAAAAAATTTCTTCTCTGCAAGCCCATGTTCTTCTATGGTTCTCAGCATTTCCAAGCTCTCTTTCTTGGCCTTCTCCTGTTCTTCACCAACAGAACTGAAGAATCTCCATATGCATATGCCCTACATAAGAAAAACCCAAACTTGATTATTTGTTAAAGAATCGAATTTAAGCACAAGATATTCAGAAACTCGTATTCTTCGCTTGCCTTATCCTCAGCAAATTTTGCCCAAAATCGAGCTTCAGCCCTCAGCTGTGCATCTTTGGGTAGCAATGGATGCTCTGGCCATGTCTCGTCGATGTATTCCAGGATAACGAGCGACTCCGCAATTGGTTTACCATTATGAACAAGCACAGGGACCTTCTTGTGGACTGGGTTATACTTCAAAAGCAATTCACTCTTGTTGGAGAGATCTTCTTCTATGTATTCATACTCTACGCCCTTTAGCTTCAGAGCCCAAATTACTCTGTAAACAAATGGGCTACTCCAATTTCCAAACAACTTCACTTCTCCCATGTTATGATCTTAAGATGAACATGGAAGGTCTTCTACATTAACAGGGTTGCTAATATATATAGTGATTCATGGGATGATTCTTTCTTGAGCTTCAAGCTTCCTTATTTAAAAGCTTTTTTTTTTTTTATTCTTCTAATTTTCAAATTCTTGACAAAGTCGGTCTTTTGAGGAGCCAAAGGCCACCTTAGAACTTGGAGAAAGTTTGATGTAATAGCTTTCTATCRGTGTTGAATATTTCAGACTGTGGATTAGAGCTTGTAAAGATGCATGCTTGTATAWAAGTTTGTTGGTACTTTACTTGCTTGTTTGCTTAATTATTTCTTCATTGCTCAATGGATAACCATCTTCATTTTAGATAATACATCAACCAAAATATGAGCCTGATCCGATGATTTTGACCATGATTTATAGGCCTTCTCTCTATAATATATATATTTTCCAGAATTTATTTAACCATCTATGTTCTGAATGGATACATTAAAATTGAATGGTTGAAATCATTCTCCTTAAAGTGGGACCCACGATTGAATGTCCCAACCGAGAATCATCTCTACCATTCTTTTTTATTATTAACTTGTTGTCGTGCCAACATGGGACTTTTCCTTTTCCTATTTTTTTTTTATAGTTTTTCTGTTGGGTTATTTACATTAATTGTTGCTAGAACTTTCATTTTATGGTAAAATGCACTAAATGTAGATGAATGCAAGATGAAGTTCAAAGGAATGATCTAATTTTTATATTTTTTATTTTTACTAGTAAGTATGTACGTGCTTTGCACGTGACAATTCTAGATGATAATAATGATAGTAATGAGTAATGATAAATATATATATATATATATATATTTTATTATAGTAATGAGTTGTGAAGTTTCAAATACCATTAACAAGCCTACTTGCTTGGCAAGATTCTCCTTTTTGTAATGTTTTTATCTTTTTGGTGTATCTTTTTTTATTCATTTATTAAAAAACTGTAAGATTTAAATAGAGGGAATTGAATGAGGAGAAAAATAGTAGTTCAATTTATAATTTAAACCTCACAATTAAATAGGGACCAAATTCAAAATTGAGTATTTTAATCAAAAACTCTACAATCTTATTAATATTTTTAATAGTAGTGTAAATATGTCACATTTACTTTTTGTTTAATATGATAATTATATAATATTATACATGTGCCAAAATGTATTTTTGCAAAACTTATGTATTTTTTTATTTTTTGTATTTTTATATTTTATTAATTTTTATTATTTATCCCCAAAAGTTGAACTATTGATCTTTTCCAAGTAGTAAAATAATTTCATCTTTGGTGAGTTCTAAATTATGCATTTCATTTTCAGTATCAATAAAAATAATTCTTATTTATTACACTTATTTTTTTTAATTTGATTAACAAAAACATCATAAATGTGTTTAATTTTTTTCTACATTTTTGTATTTTATGTTTATTTCTATTTTAAAATTTTATTACCTAACTATGACTTTATAGTTGATCAATTTGATTTAGATGGTTGAATTAGCCACCACTTTAATAAATAATGGTTTTGTTTTTTACTTAGTTTTAAAATATATATGTTTATATTATTAAAAATATTGACATAGATCTAATTAGTAACATTTATTAGTGAAAAATAACATAAATATAAGATTTAAAAAGAGAAAATGAGAGTTAATACCTTAAGTATAAGATTTAAAGAGAAGAGATTAAATAAGGTGAAAAGTAATAATTGAAGTTACAAATTCAACCCTTACAAATAGAGATGGACTAAATAAACAAATATGAGCATCTTAATAGCCATTAAAGCTGTAATAAAATAACTTTTATGTCATTTTTCAAACAAAGAAATAGAGGATATTAGTCAAACAAAACTTCTACTCTACATTCACACTTTTATATATAATATAGATATTTGTTGTGTGGAGGTTTGAAGAATAAAGATATGATTTTAAACTTTATCTTTTTATCTAAATTTGTATTTTTAAATCCTATTTGATTAAGAGGTGGTACATGTTGTGTTTGGTTTTAAAATTGTTTTATGAACATCGGGTTTTATGTTTGTGGGGACAACAACTAGGAAAGAGTGTCTTATGTCTAGTCATGTAAGCATGACATATTGACATCACGGGTGATTCAATGTGTCTAACTGATAGGATTATTGTGTATCTACCCTACTTTATATATAGCTCTTCAGAGGACTAGTCAGTATGTTCCTCCTACCAAGTATCAACCATATTTTTATGGTTGCAGGAAAAAAAAAAAAAAACCATCCAAATACAAATTCGCATATGCTGCAACTGTGGTCGCAGGACTCTCTTGCGACCCTCCAAGGAAACACAGTACACCAGCAGTTGAATGCTGTAACTGTGGTTGCAGCCCATGTGCTCTTCCCGATTACCTTCTTGACTTGGAGTCTGGATTAACTGCACTTATCACTATGTTAGACATCATTTAACCAGTAATAATGTCTCACGTCATCCATCAAATGTATAACCCCTACCAAACGAGATTTCTTACTCACTTTTCTTGCCCATTCTCTAGCCGCCGTGAATTGCAGCCACACATTTCTATTATGATTTGGGAGATATGTGACTGCAATTCATAAATAGTGAGTAGGAAATCTAGGTTCTACCCCCTACAACAACTTCAGTCTTTAAGTCTCTTTGGATGTTGTTCTCTTTATCGACTGCAGCAGTGTTCTAACAAAATTTAAAAAAAAAATGGAAAAAAAAATCTAGGGATGAAAGAGCTTCAGAGCAAGGGTGGTTTGGCTTCACAGTGCCACATACCTAATCAGCAGAATCACCTCTGACACACCTCCCCATCCGTTCTCTATTTCAAGTTACATCAGCTAAGTGCCCGTTTGGGAGTGCTGAAGCACATAGGCTTATGGCTTTTCAAGGTGGGTCCCACATGGGAAGCTATAACCTATAAGTTATGTTTGATGAAAACTCCTCAGAGACCAAATTGGATGCATGTCAGCTAATCATTTGATCTTTGAAGGGCTGCCTGATTCACCTTCTTTGAATAGGTAGTCCGGAGAGTAGGGGTGGTAACGAGCCGAGCTTTTCACGAGCTGTTCGAGCTCGGACTCGAGCCCAATTCACTGATTTGATTATGAAACAAACCGAGCTCGAGCCTATTAGAACTTGGCTCGCAAGCCGGCTCGAATGTATATATATATATATATATTATTTTTTTAAATATCAAATAAAAATATTATTTTTATAAAATATTTTTCTCAAAATCAAACTCGAACTCTCGAGCTTATGAATTTTTGACTCAAACCAAACTCGAGCCTCATACTATTCAGCTCGGCTCGACTAAAATCCACCACTACCAGAGAGCTTCAAAGTAGAAGGAGCAGCAGCTCAGCTGAGTGCCCATTTGGGAGGGCTTTGAAGTCACAGCTTCAGGCTTTATGAGATGGGCCCCACCTGGAAAGACCTAAGCTATATTTTGTGAAAACCTTTGGAAGGTCCAAAACAGCTGTCTTCCAACCAGAAAATAGGGCTTTCACTAAAGTTTCTTTTAGTGGCTTCTCCAAAGCAACTCAATTAAAGCTTCAGCCTTCCCAAATGGGCTTTCTATCATGATATATATAGCTAAACAGCCCAAATATGATTAATTCTGTCGCCTTACTATGACCCATCAATGACAACATACAGTTATATATGAAACATGTTTGAGGCATGTTAACAGTTAGTAGCAACATGTTGGTAGCAGATCTGGTCTCACTTCAGCTGGGGGATGTGATGCCTCCACTATACAGTTCTGCATATATACAGTTTCACCATAGCCTTGTTTAATTCAGTGTCATATCCATTGTTAAATTATAGACGCTTAATTATTTCTTATTATTTTCACTTAAATCCTTTTCAGTCTTCCCTCAGTTCCTCTAGCCCTTTCAAAAATCAGAATTTTTAAGTCTTCTCTAATTATTCTCCTAATATCCCATTGGGTTGATTCTTTTTCTATTTATTGTGAGAGAGAGAGAGAGAGTTAAAAGCTCAAATGTAGTAAGCAGAAACAGAAAACACTTGCAGAATAGAACAGAACAGAAATACAATGGATGGTAGTGGTTATGCAGATGCCAGAAACTTCTCCCTCAAGCGTTTGAAGAAGACAAGCATCTTCTCAGGATCAGGCAGGTTGTCTTTGATCACAGGCACTTCCTTGAAATTTTGAGTCCATTCATACAAACGAGGGAAAGATTGAGCTTCCAACAACTTCACCCCCACAACATCTTCCATTACTCCCAACCAGTGAGCAATCCCACCGAAGGCCAAGTCCGCAAACCCAATTGTGTCACCACCAAAAAATTTCTTCTCTCCAAGCCCATGTTCTTCTATGGTTCTCAGCATTTCCAAGCTTTCCTTCTTAGCCTTCTCTACTTTTTCACCACTAGAACGGAACATTGCCCATATACATGAGCCCTACTTAGAAAAAAAAAAAAAAAAAAAGATGATCATTTGTTGAAGCAGTTAAGCTTAAGCACAACATGAGGCATTATTTGCTAAATATAATCTTCTTGGGCCAGGGACTTGAGGCTCTGCTTGGATAAGCTTTTTTGCTTTTGAGCTTTGGGCTAGGGGAAACAAAGATGAGCCAAAAAGTGTTTTGAGCAATTGATTAATTAGAATTGCTTTTAAAACATAACTATCTGAAGCCAAAACACTTTTAATCTCCAAAGCACAGATCTTGAAACTTATCCAAATGCAAGCCTAGTCTAATCCAATTTCAGCTGCAAGGTCTATAATAGGCCAAGGCTCATCTAAATTCAATGCAACCTATCAATTACAGCTCAAGAAGATCTTAATTAGCTTTTAATAGAAAAAAAAAAAGTGTGGTATACAGATACCTTATCCTCGGCGAATTTTGCCCAAAATCGAGCTGTGGCTCTCTCCTGTGCATCCTCAGGCAGCACTGGATGCTCTGGCCATGTCTCGTCGATGTATTCCAGGACAACCATTGACTCCACAATCGGTTTCCCATTATGAACAAGCACAGGGACCTTCTTGTGAACAGGGTTATACTTCAGAAGAATGTCACTCTTGTTGAAGATATCCTCTTCTATGTATTCATATTCTACACCCTTCAGTTTCAGAGCCCAGATGACTCTATAAACATATGGGCTACTCCAAAATCCTATCAACTTCACTCCTCCCGGCTCCCATGTTATGATATTCTAAAAAAAATGGATATGGATGGCCTTCTACACAACAGGGCTGCTTTATATAGTGATGGGAGTGTTCTTGATTGGGCTCTGAGCTTCCTTTTTATTAATTTATGAATTGTTGACAAAAATGAATCCTTTTGGGAGCCAAAGAACACCTTAAGAGTTTGATGGTGGATCTACCTCTTGGAATAAAATTTGATGTAATAACTTTCTATTGATGTTTAATATTTCTGACTGTTGATCAGAGTAGGTGGTAGAGATTCTTATATTTAACTAGTTATAATAAATCTTATATTTAACAACTAATTATAATATAAGTTTCTTAGTATTATACTTGCTTGGGTTTCTTGATATTCTGCTTTATGGATAACCATCCACTTAGTTTCAATTTTCTTAGTGGATGTATTCAAATTGAATTGTTGAAATCAATTGGGGTTCCATCTGGCTTTATTATTAATTTATTGTTGTTGTTGTTGAGCGAGCATCGGAATTATTATTTTTTATTTTGTTATCAAAGTGTATATTGTTACTAGGTTGTTCATTTTATGATTATATATGGATGTCAAACCAGAGTTCCAAGAAAGAATCTAAGGCTTTAATTTGTTCCTTTTTTATTTTTATTATTTATTTACTTTTTATTTTTTTGTTAAGAGATAGTCAGATAGGATGAATAAAGATAATAGAGATATCTACCTGTCTAAGTTTAAGGCTTGCATCCGATCCAATTAGGTTGACCCAGAATTAAATATGGATCCACCCCAACATTAGCCCTGATCAGATGAATATTTTGACCATGAGTACATTAATTTCCCAAAATTCCAGGTTATTACCTAAACTAAAACCCCCGGTCAAGGATCTACCATTAATAGAGATGAATGGTTTTTTTTTTAAATTTACTATACTACCCTCTCCCTTTGACTTTGTCATGTTCTAAAATTGTGCAGTGATAAAATTTATTATACTATCCCTCCATTTGAGATTTTGGGGTTTATCTCCATCCAAACGGGCTTGGGAGTTGGGACCTTTGTGTTGAGGATGATAAAAGATGAAATATTTTTTGTTTTTTGTTTTTCTACTTGATTTCATTTTTAAACAATTATTTGACAGAGGATCAGTGTTATTTGGTCACTAAAAACAATTAATGGCTTACCTGGACAACCATCGTTAATGGTTACTAACGTAGACCTGAGGGAAGGTAAGTATTAAATAAAAAAGAAAATCTTTGATAGAGGGGTTTCTTGAAGGTTTTGAAAAGTAAAGGTAAATTTAACAAAAATAGGAAAAAGGTGAAGGGGAGTATAATAACCCCAAAATTTCTTTAACGATTTTATTTTGAATGGATACATTAAAATTGAACGGTTGAGATCATTTATTTACATTCACATTGATTATGATATCTGTAATCATCTCCACCATCCGGCTTTTGTTATTAATCCATTTTGTGCCAACATAGGTTTTGAAGGTGGAAATCTATTTTTCTTGTATTTTGGAAAAATCATTTTATGATTTGGGACCACGTACCAGATGAATGTATACCTTCTCTTATTCTCTACTTCCCGTCTCTAGGATGAAGATAAGACTGAATCCTCTACCAATCGCTCTGAAACATGGGCTCCGCCTGTGCAAGACTGATGTCGTATACTGTATTATGCACAACTCCGAAGCTGATGTTGTCAAGTTAGTGTGAGGAGTAAATCCGATCTCTTCACTTTGGATGGCCACGTAGTCTGATTGTCTAATGGCTTCATGAGAGAAAGTATTGTTTTATCACGTGTGTATGTGTGTTTGTCAGCTTGCATACCGAATCACTGATTCAGAGAAAGTTTGTTTGTTTGTTCGTTCGTTTTCAGATTCAGAACTTGACAATAACTGCCTTATCCTGAACTTGAATACGGATAAATGCGCCCTGCTCATGCAACCATAAGGCTACGTTTGTTGTTCATAGGAGAGGAATGGGAGAGAATTTTAATCCTTTCTCCATAATATTTTTTAGGGCCGCAAATGGATCCTATCGAATTTGGATGGGGTATATCTGAATTTGATCCAATAAGAATATGACAAAATTCTAATGTAAATCTAATATCCGACGAATTTGCAAAACATAGATTCAAATTCGATTTGATTGATATATTAGTAAATCTATACAAATTAAGTATAAATTAAATTATAAAAAATAGACTGTATCAGATTGGATCCTAGCAAAACGGATCAAGCAATATCCAATTTTGATTGGACTATAAATGGATGATGTTTGGATTTAATCTGATTATTGATTAAATAGATATTTGAATCTGGCATAAATGAATCTAATTCGAAGTGAAAATCGATGTTACATTAAATCCAATCCATTTGCAGCTCTAAGAATTCTAAAATAAGTATTTGGACCTGGTTAGGGGGTGTTTTCCAAATATGATTGGTTTTTATAGATTGTCTTTTAGGTTGTATTTGGTTGCAGTGCAATTTTATTTGCATTAACACAAATGTATGAGAATGCAAGCAAAAAAAAATACAAATTTTGATTTAATTTTGTTTTGGGTTTTATTTTGTGCTGCTTTCATGTCTTATTTTACTTTATTTTTACTGCAATTAAATAAAATGAGGTAAATTTTGAAGCAAAAATAAAACAGAATTTGCACCCAAAATCATTTTGCACTGGGTAAGAATATGCTACCAACAAAATGCTCCCAACATTATCCTAGCAGGCCACTGCAGTCACACATTTGCCCTTGTTATTCATGCCATATGGACAAGTTCCCGATGTATGGCTGCAATAGCTGGTTGGGATGCTGAGACCATGTATTGGTAGCTGATTCAAACTCTATTGCACTACCATAGTTTTGCACAAGGTTTTTTAAACCGATCTAGAGAACAAATTGGTCAGGGGTCCGATTCTCGAGTTGAACGATCTGATAGTTCGAACCAAACGGTTGGCTCATTCTGACAAAAAAATACAAAATTTAAAAAAAATAAAAATCAACCAAAGCCATTGAACGGCTCGAGCACTCGGATTAGCAATTTACTGACCAAATCAACATTTTTTTTTGTTGCAAATATCCAATTTTAGAGAAAAGCAGAACTGATCACCTGACCAATTCTTGGTTTTTCCGGTCTGACCATCCAGTCCAGTCCGGTTTTGAAAACCATGATTTTGCATGAGTCCACATAAATTTGCATTGCAACCAAAGGCCAACTCAAGAATTTAGGCCCCACAATATTTGTGATTTGGTTTTGATTATGTTTTTCAAATGAAAAATTTTGACCTTGGGCATCTTGGTTGCAAATTTTGGGTCTTGGCATGTAATACTCAAAACTGAAAATGAGCTTTTAAAAATGCTTGTTTCTATACCATTTTATGAGTTCAGATTGGGAGATGTTCCCAATACACACGGCTGGGATGGTATGTGGGGCGCTGATGCGAATTCCCGTTTGATGGACTAACGGCCATTAAACGCAACGCGCAATGAGGGCGCCATGATGCCATTGACAACGTAGGAAAGGGTATTTTGGTCAATAAACGTTCATTTTAGGCGTATAATGGTCATTTCATGTTCGCTTGCCACACTTGCCACCGCCCAAGCTAAAAAGAAGACTCACTTTCACCGACTCACTGCTTTACTGTTCAGCAGTAGTTCAGCATATCCGCCAAAGCGTTACTAAAGCAGTAATTTTAGTCCCAAAGCAAGGTTAATTTGGTCATTACAAGTGTTTGGATCAAGGATGTTACTGAATCGGGTTACTCTTATTTCGGATTGGTATGAAGTGGACCCGTTCTAATATCTAGTTATCTACATGCTTGGTTGAGTATAGGCACACTATATGGACTATGGTAATATGGAGAACGAGTCGGTCCGGGTTCGGATTGGAGCGACTTCAGGTCGAGTTCGGTTTGAATCTGACCAGTATGGTACCCGACCCAGTTTACAATCTCTTGTAATAGATATTGCCCTTGTAATAAAAATACGAGTTAACGAGTCGAGTCAAAGAAGTGACTGAGCGAGTTGTGACTGCGGGTTGTAAGTAAAACTGTTTTTGTGTCTCTCTGTCGCTCTCTGGTTTGCGCACTGAGACCGCCTCGAGTCTCTTTCTCATAAGTTTGATCAACGCCTTCATCTGGATCCTCTTTCTGTCTCTCTTTCCCATCTCTTGTGTCTGTCTCTGTGAGAAGTGGTGGTGGAGGAGAACAAGTATCAGCAAATGGAGGGGACTGTGATGAAGAGAGAGATGTCTGTGGCTGATTACGGTGGACTTAATGGAGGAGGACGAGCAATGGAGCGGAATGAGAAAAGGGGGAAGAGGTTGAGGGAAGAACAGCATGAGGAAGTAGAAAGAGAGGGGTCGGAGCTTCTTCAGGATCCTCTGGTGGTGTTTGGCTCGGATATAATGTTGATGATACTGAGCCGTCTTGACGCTCGCAGCTTGGCAGTCTCCCTGCTTGTCTCTCGTGGATGGCATAGCGTTGCTTCCAGCAACAGTATTTGGAGCAGTAAGGTTATTATCTGTCATTCTCTCTTTCTTTCTGTTTTGATGTTTTGTTTTCTGTTCTCTTGTTTCGTGTTTGGCTTCCAGTTAAGCTGAATTGTTTCCAGTCTCTGTTAATGTTTTGACCTACTAGGTTGATTTATATATTTGATCCATCAAGAACATAAGGGTCATCATTTCTAGTGATCATCAGGAGCCATTAAGCTCACAGGGAGTCTCGATATGTATTTGACTCATCAAGAATCGCAATTTTGATGGACAATCCAGAATTATTTGTTTGGTTGTCCATTTGGACCATTGGTGATTCTTCTAGGGCTACTGATATGGTCAATTCATTTATTTCTATATTGCATTCTCAGCATGCAACCAAGATACCATCCTGATAATCTTATCAAAGGCTACAAACCATGCAGCTCCCTTAGCTGCTGAAACATTGACAAACAACTCTGGTTTGACTTTTGAGGCCATTGTCTTAAGAAGATTTCCAGCCTTTCCAGCATTGGCATTGAATATTTGATGAATCTAGAAGTGGTAGGTCCCCGAAACAGATGTGTATTAGTGTTTCAATTATCACAAGTGTTCTTTGAGTTTGAGCACTACTTTGGGTGCTGCGCTTTTTTTCTGTGTAAACAAACAAAAGAAAATCTTTTAGTTTCCCTACTTTTGTTTTGTTATTTTTATTTTCTTTCCTTATCTCCTGTTTTTTAATAACAGAAAACAGTGTTATCGTTTATAGTTATAGTTGTAAATACATGTAGAACAGAGATACTGCTAATTTATTGTAATTTATTCTGTTTTTTATTAATTTTCTTTGTCTGATGTCTTATAATTTATGATACACTAATTAGTTTAAGTTATCCAAGAATAATGTAACTTCCCATTAAATTGACCTTAAACTTCCTTAAGTTGTATTACTATGCTACTTGATTGTTCATCCTTATTCAATCTGGTTCCTTTCATTTTTTTACTTTCTTGTTTAAAAGCATAAAACTATTTGCAGGAAAATTAAATAATATCTTTGACATTTTTTATTAACTATACACTTTTCCTAGATTAATGAGTAGGAAATTTCTATTGTTCCAAGGAGCTGGAGAGCAGACAAAACAGTTTTTTCTTGGACTATTTTGATTCTCCTCTCTTTGCTGTTTGTTTTCTTGCGAGTGTTTTTAGCAACATTTTGGTGATCCTAAGGCCCAGTCTGTGTCAGACACCTATCAGATTCCAACAATCAACAGATTGTTGAGGGGGGTGCTTTTTATAAATTGTTTTCTTCTAACAATCCATAGGTCTTTGTCTTTTCTTATGGAGGGGGTGAAAGGATGAAAAGAAATATCATCTCGTTAGTTGGAGTAAGGTGTGCAGGCCAAAAGTATTGGCGGTATAGGTGTAAGGGGGCTGAGGGAAGTAAATAAAGCTATGCTAGGTAAATGGTTTTGGAGGTTCAGGGAAAATCAGGGTGGGTTATGGAAGAGGGTAATCCAGGCTAATTATGGGGTGGGAGCCAGGTGAAGCTTCTCAAACTTATGGGTGTTCTGTGTGGAAGGGGGATTGAAAAAGTGTAGTGTTTGTTCAGTGAAGAGTACAAGGTAGGAAATGGGCTGAAAGTCAGGTTCTGGAAGGACTGCTGGTGAGGAGACAGATCTCTAATGGAGATTTTGTTGGAGTTATTTGATATTGCATATGATAAAGATGAGTAGAAAGCCTTATGTGCTGATTTCGGCCAAGCTTCTTGTGAAAGGAAGAGGAGAAAGTTGGGGATTTCAGCAATAGACAGAGGAAAGGGAAGAAAAGGAGAAGAAGGTCGACTAGGATAGTGATCATAACCCTAGCCGCCAGCCCCTCATTCTAT